TAAGATTGGAATTTATAATGTATAGTTACTTTATAATTCATTATACTTTTAATGAGTATTTAAAGTCGTATCCTACCCGTTCGGCTAACGACCCTCCACCGATCAAGGAAGCGGTGGGTGAGAGTGGACACCCATTAAGTCACCATTTTATAGGCAACAACCTTATACCCCCCTTATAGACCGGCTTCGTGAATGAGGCCTACTAACGGTAAGAATGACATATTCTTATACATATCTATATAATTAAAATTATAATAATAGTATAAGGGTGTATTTTAAACATTTAAAATACTTGGTGGTTTAATCTATTAATTAAATTATACTCTTAATTTAATTAAACTTAAACCATGTCTTTATGGAATTATTAACTCTTTTAATTAAACACTTTAATTAATTTAATGAAGTCCATAAAGTTTGAATTTTTTTTTAACCTTTAAAAAAAAGTTTGGAATTAAAGTGTAAGACTTTACAAATTCCAAAACTTGAGGGCAAGAATTGAAACTATTCCAAGTCTCTTCAATTTGTAACTTATGAGTTTTAATGGTTCATAAAAATGAAGACTCTTCATTTTATGAAACCTCTTTAGTTCTTTAAACACAAATTAAAAAGTGACCTTTGGTATCCATAACTTGAGGACAAGTTATGGACACCATTATTGCCATTAAGATCATGAATTAAACACACATGGAGGTTACACATAATTCCTATGATCTTCTAAAAACTCATAAGAACACAAATTCATGCAAGCAATTTTCAAGAAATCATATAAACATATACAATACTTGAAAATTAATAAAGTCATGTAAAATGGGTTAACATAATCATTATCATTTTGAAAAAACAGATTTTACAAGTCCAAAACAGATTGGGATAATGATTTTAATCCATTTCCAGCAACAAAACACGAAAAGACTGCCCAACACGCACCTACTCGTCGAGTGCATTATCCTACTCGACGAGTAGGATGAATTTGTTCATGGACTCGGCGAGTCCTCCCCATGAACTCGGCGAGTCCAGTCGTCAATGAGCAGATTTTTCGTATTTTAAGCAGTTTTGCATCAAGTATACAGAAAACAACCTAGGCTCTGATACCACTGTTGGGTTTTGAGCATTCTAACACTTCCTAAGTGTACATGCAACCCTAATAACCTTGAATCTATGTTTTCTCTATATACATGCAAATTTCTTTTTCAAGGTTATTTCCTAACTAGCATGGCATGGGGATTACATAAAACATAAAGAACTAGTAGAAATACATACCTTGTTGTCGCTTGGATTCCTTCAAGACTTTGTGAGCCTAGCACCCCAAATGTTGTGCCTCAAATGCTTCACACAACACTACAACCTTGGAATAACTAGAGAGAATATTTCTACACTCCAAAATCGGCTATGCCCTCACAAGAATACTCTAGTGCCAATTTTGCATGCTATAGGGTTTCTTTTATAGTGTGTCATAATTAGGAGTTACAAATGTAAACCCTAATTGTCATGACTCTTCATTTCTCATGACCCATGGGTTTGTAACTCCCATGGACTATCCATGGAGCTCCATATGGTTATAACCAAACCCATAAACCATGGATCATTAATCCACCATAAAAGAATTGATGATTGTCATAATCAACCCTATATATTTAATTAGTCTCACTTTGATCACCAAATTAATTCTAGATTAATACTTGATCAAATACTAATTAAATAATACTATTATTAATATATTAGAACTTATAATATATTAATAATCATAAGTGCCTTATTCTCTCATTTAGTCTATCCAAGTATTGCAATGCCATGCAACCCAAATGGACCATGCCGGGTCGGGTCAAGTTCATACCAAATAAAGTTATGGACTTAGACACTATATCCAACAGGAGCAACATAAATCTGGATAGATAATGCTCTTTGAACCTCTAAAGTTCCAGATCCAGAGTCTAACACTAAGAGGGACAACATATGCATCAATTCAAGTCAATAAAGGGGTATAGAAAACCCTAGATTCAAGGATTTGTACAAAACAGAAGAAGGGATCGATTTTCTACCTCAACAATGAAGACCCAAGCTTGAAAACCACAAAATCATAATCCTCTTGACCTTATCTTTCTGGAAACACCTTCTTCTTTGCAAAGCCACAACAAAAAGGGATCAAAATAACTCTCTCTCTCTCTCACTCTCTCTCTCTCTCTCTCACATACACACAACTTGCTCAAGCTCTCTAGGGTTTCTCTCTCTGGATTGGTAGCCGCAAATGAGGGCTATAAGGTCCCTTAAATAGGGCACATGCCCGGAGATTTAGGGTTTTTGACCTCAGCGCGGACTCGTCGAGTCCACCCATCGACTCGTTGAGTCCGTTCATTAATCCAGTTAGCAATCGCGATCCTACTCGGCGAGTCTAAGCGTCAACTCGCCGAGTCCTTCCTCATAACTCAAATTAAACAATTAAAATATAATACCTGGAAATCCGGATGTTACGCCAAGTATTTTGGGGATTTGTGATTTTGTTAATGAGATTAATGTGATTTTAAAATGAAAATTTTGGTTTGAAAATTTACAGTGTAACAAGGATGATGTGGAGAACATGGTGACTTTTGATTCTTTAAATTGTGATTTCACCTTTTTCTTCTAAAAATCAAAGCCGGAAGTTGGATCATAAATTAGGTGGTATAAACTCCAGATCATTCGCTCAAGATGGAAAACCAAAGTAAGCCCTCTTATATGTTATAATGATATTATCAGGCTTGTTTACCTTTTAATATGAAATTAGTTTTTAAAGGATGAAGGATAAGCTTATTGAAAGTATGTTCTAAAATTGTTTGCTTTGTAGGTTATTGTTGATCGTATTTGTGAAGAGATAAAGGATGAGCTTAGTGCGGAAAGAAATTGCAGCCAAAAAACAACAAATTATTAAGATTTATAACAACACTCATAGGATTCACCAAAGGAAGTAACCTACCCAACTAACTGGACTTTGACGCTTGATTTTTGTAACTTCGTTTTGATACTTTGATATTGATGTAGACGTTGACACTTGATTTTTGTGATTTAGTTTCGATGCTCTGAATGTGATTTGGTTTCGATAAATTGAAATTGAATGTTAGTCTTCATTTTGCTTGTCAATTATTAATATTTAATTTAGTAGTTGAATTTTAATTATAGTTTAATTTATACATTAAATTTATTTTGTAAATTCTCATTATAGATTTAGAAAAGAAAAACTAATGATATAACTGACAATCAGTGATGGAAATGCGACAGGATCCATTGGTTTTATGAGCTTTCTTAACTAGTTATTCTGTAATTAAATAACTCATTAGCGACATATTAGTGACAGATATCAACGACAGATTAGCGATGGAATTGAGAAGTCCCATGATCAGTTATGGTATTGCTAATTCCTTGCTGAATCCTTCGTTGACGATTAGCAATAAGGGTTTTCAACCACCTAAATCTGTCGTCCATCCGTCGATGATGGCCTTCAGCGACGAATCAACGAGGGAATTGTGCGTCGTTGATACCTATTTTTCTAGTAGTGTTGTCTCTTGAAACAACATTGAGTTTTTGTTTATAAACCTTTATTTTCTGTGTTTTGTGAGCAATAACATCCATGAACTTGTTTTCACTTTCAATATTGTTTTGAAGAGAAATGATAGAATTAGAAACATTAGTGTGAAGATCTGCATTCTTTTTGCAGCACAAAACGAACAAAAGTTAGACTTTCCTTTTCCTGACGAAGAGAATCACAAAACCCTTTAATCATCTTAGTTACATTAGCCACTTGATTATCAGACATTTCTTGAAAGATTTTCAAAAATACATCTACTTCGGTAGCAAGAGTCTTCATTTCTAAAAGAGCATAATCAACTTATTTTGCAATATTATCAACTTTGACAAGAGACTCTTCATTGCATCTCAGAAGTTAAAGCTTGCATAACTGATTGATGAGAAGTCATGGAATTTTCAAAATTGGTGATAGAGAAAGTCCCAATATGGCGAATCAAAATAATTTAACTTTTTATTCAGAATATGATTATGTTTTAATACATTTAAATGTGTGTAAATATATTTATATTTGTTTAAAAAAAATTTGGAATTTCAGTACACATAAATATATTGAAATATGTTTTTAGGAAATATATAAAAAAACGTAGGCTAAAAAATATACATAAATGATGTATCAGAGGGCCGTTTGCCTTGTTTAGGAGGGAGTCACTCTATACCAACTCATTCAACCCACTCTCACATCAGTTCCATATCATTTTTTTTCCACCCCTTTCTCTTCTATCTTTTTCAATCTATTACATATAAAAACCTTATCTTTTCCAACACACTCAATTGAAAAAATAAAAAACAACTAAGTTATAAATTTTATAAAATATAATACAAGAGAAAAAATAAAGAAAGAGAAAGAGAAAAATGATCAAGTGGATTAGTGAACCCATATAAATAATCCACTACTTTCCATCATCGCAACCTACTCATGAGGAGGAAATGTTGTGTTGGATGGTACCACCCTATTATAGGAGGTAGTGGTTTTATTCCATAAGATCATATTTTCTTTTCCTTTTCATTCTTATTTTTAAAAGAAATTAAATATTTTTCTACTTTTGTTCTACAAATCTTTCTACCCAATGAAATAATGATATATGTCATATTAATATATTAATATATAATTAAATAACCATTAAATGTTATACATGTTATTATTTAATTGGATATGAGGATTTATAATAATAAAAAAATATGAGCATATTTAATTTCTCTATTTTTAATTGTGAGATTTTGCCATAAGTGGAAAAAAAAAAAAAAAAAAAAAAAGCTTTTGAAGTTACCCACCAAACTTATATGGGATTTTGTGGCATCATATAAGGTCTAAACATTACAAAAATACTTTTAATTCACGGAAACTTGTGAAAGAGATACACAACTTATTTATTTATAATCTTTACACATGTAAGTTTAATAACAGAATATGGTAATACGCATAATCAAAGAACCAAAACAACCTAGCAGTGATCCTCCTGATCGTCCCACAGCCAAAGCAGCATCTCATCTCCATCATCACCTACACACCCTAACTCCATGTGATCGCCATTAGAGTAAAGCCCCACAGTTTCTGATGAATTCAAGCTCAAGAATTCATCTTCAGTCTCATTCCTTTTGGCATTTTCGACACTCGAATCTGCTAAAATCTTTCCTGCTTCTTCCTGATCATGAATGCTCAAAACCCCACATGAATCCACAGCCCCACTTCCTAAAAATCTGCTGATATCCATCATTTCATCATATTGGAAACAAAATTCATTTGGTCCCAAAATTTGATTTTCTCTCTCTTCTTGAAAACTCCACTCAATGCCACGAACTCTATCCTCTGTAACATTTTTCTTCGTAGGAACGGAATAGCTGCCAATTTCATGATATTCAGTTATCGCTTTATTTACAGTTTGTTGGGCTAATTTATTGCTGGTAGGTTTTATTGGTGACTTGATGTTACTAGCCACCCTATTCTTGTTATACTTTTTGGCGACACAACGGCTTACACGACCAATTCTTTGATTTGCTTGAACTACGTCCGTTATGTTGTTCGAGTTTAATGCCGAGTCGTTTTTACCTCTGAAAAATCTGTAAACTTTGCGGCTTAAATGAGAGTTCCAGTAGTTCTTGATCTCGTTATCTGTTCGTCCTGGTAAATGGCTTGCTATTACTGACCATCTAAAAAAAGATTAAGATATCAATGTTATGCGTAGAATGATAGAATTATCCCGTCACAAATTTCGATTATAGAATTTATGTTAAAGAAAAAGTGATCAAAAACATATGTTCACGACTTCATACGATAGGATGAACATGCAAGAAAAGATATATATCGGCTATCGCTATAGTTACCATCAAATTTTGTTTTTGAAAAGCCCACTTTAATGGTTTATTTGAAAACTATTTTTCAGAACAGATTTATTTACATATTTTATCATATTTTTAAACTATTAATTAGTACTTTCAAATAAGTAAAGATATAATAACAGAATTTTTATATTTTTGTTTCAAACCATCCAGTTAGTTAATGAACTCAAAATTTGTTTGGAGTTTTAAAAAATCATTTCTGAATTTGAAATTTAATGATTTAAAGGAAAACAGTGACAACATAGAAGCTGTCACTTCATCACTCGTCATAATTTTAAGTGTACGATGATACCAAAATGAATTTATTAAATTGGTCCATCTAATGTTTCTTTTTTGATGTTTAGTAAAGTAAATTTCATTCGTGAAATACAAATGCGACAAAGCTGCCCCTCCTTGCAACTAACCTGTTGATGGAAATTAAACAACTAGTTGCGGTGACGTCTATTCATGTCGAAAAGGTCGTGTTCAGTCTTAGTAGTTCTTAATTGGGATTGACTTGTATCTTACATCTTATGGCTTATGGCTTATGGCTTATGGTCCATGTACTGTACCCGTGATTTAAAAATCCCCACGACACCAAAACTGTCAAGGACACCGTACTTTGCTACCTAACAGTCTAAGACTTAGCTCCACCCCCCATATGACTTTTAGCGACTCAATTTTTAAAGCAAGCCGACCGGCAAATATGGACATAATTTATTGTTACGTTTATTTAGCCATTACAATCAATGGTTTAATAATAAGTTAGAATGATGTATGGAATGTCAGCTTAAACTTATTATAGTTCAAAGGAATTCAATTAACACATCATTATCTTACATGAACTTCAATTCTACTAAAATTTTTATATAATGCATTGAACTTTTTTGATCCGGAACGTATTTTTAATAATTCAATGGTTTTCTATTTTCTACTAAAAAGTTTAATGGTCATCAAATTTGTATCTATTAGCATAACATAAAGTGTCGACTCTAAAACAAAAAACTGTATGGTTCACTATTTAAGTAAAACCGATGTTAGGAAAAAGTAGTAACAATTGCAAATAATAATTTAAGAGCTGTTAATGTATTAATCACAAATAACCAATTGCAAATGAATAAATCGGTGCCGATTGTTTATTTATTTATTTATTTATATGTTTTATCGTGCTATTGAAATAAAACATGGGCTTTGGATATCTAGATTAGTATATTATTGCTAGACAAATTAAAGACAATGTGGGTCATTTTAAATATTGAAGATAGTTCCCAAATAATTGTTATATATAAGACATTGTAAAAAAGAAAATTTCAGGTGGGTCAAGTGACCCACCTTGTATAAGTGTAGCTTCGCCGACGTAACATCATATCAATGATATAGTTTAATCTAATTTCAATGCATAATATTTCCATCAACTAGTATGGATACTCTAATATACAGTGAATCAACCCAAATAGAATGAAATGCCAAGTTAGCATATAATCAATTTAAAGTTGAATGAATATGAAATACAATAATGTTTGCATTCTTTATTATTTTACATAAATAAGAGTCCATTAACTTTCTAGATTTGAGTTGATATTGTACAGTAAATTCTAAACGACCAAGATGTTATTGATCAAATTCATAAGCTAGTAAATTAAATTAAACAATTTATATTGAAAAGTGGAATGAAGAAATTTGTCATAATTTTAATGTAGAAATATTTGTAGGATAGGAATTTAATTTCACAAGTAGAATACAAACTAGCAAAATAATCATGGGTTCATAATTCTCCGTTAATAAATTCTCTTAATTGAGGAAGTTATTGTTTCCGCGTTATTTAAACTCCTTCTGAAGGTTTTGATATTACTGGCCTTTATTACGTGATGGCTGTGGTGGGAATAATTTTACTACAACACGTATCATAACATTATACATTTTTTAATATATTCATAAACCTAAAATTATATAAAATTTTGAGTGCCCCAAATTTCTTTTAAATAACTATACTACTGGATAGATTGATCCCTAGCTAATCACTATGTTTATGTGAACACTTTCTTATACTCTTCAAAATGTGACAAAAGTTTAAAATTTCTGTATCTTCTTCACACTTCTAGTGCGAGCATCTAACTATACACACTTTAGTGTATGTTTAAATGGTACTATATTCTCATGAATTGTGGAGAAGCAAGGCTACAATTCCATTATATGTTGCAATGTTAAGCAGATTGAAACTTTTTTTTTACTTAATCTAAGTATTTTCTCTTCGAATCATATGTTTATATATTATCTTATGTTTAAGTACTTAGAATCGATGATCAGATGATGTACTTCATTAAGATTAATAAATACCACGCATACCTGTTTCCTAAGGATCCATGCAACTTAACGATCATTTCTTCTTCTTCTGCAGTGATATTGCCTCTCTTCAAGTCCCCTCGTAGATAATTGATCCATCTTAGTCTGCAACTCTTTCCACACCTTAACAACCCTAACAATAATAATTTGAGTAATTAACAATTAGATTAAGGCTTTCAAAACAAGAAAAAAAAGTATATATTTTTTGGTGTCGATCTGAATATATAACATCTTAATTTGGCCCGATTTCCATCAAAAATTACATATGTTATATTAAGTAATAAATTATGCATTTATTCCACTGGATTTAACCTAGTGAAGAAGTTTTTTAGAATTTTTGTTCTATTTCACATGTTAATTACATTACTTTTTTTCCCAAATACAACATTATATATAAAAACCATCACTAAATGCACACTTTGAGCAAAAAACAGAAAAGGAAGGAGGTACTGATGAATGCTTAGAAGCCAAAGGTCGTTGAGAAAAAGATAAACATAAGCATCCAATGTTCTCTTTTTCATGAATATATTTCTAAATGCGAAGAGAATCATGGTAGATCACACTTGGCCATAATTTTAATCAAGATACCTGCATTTTTGGGTAATGACCTCCAAGAACCTTCACCATTGAGTTGAATGTATTTGATTAATGTTTCATCTTCTTCGGATGTCCACCTCCCTCTCTTTATCCCTTCCTTTTCACAACAAGGTGTTCTTCCCATTTACACAATGGGGTTTGTGGATGCGTTTGAGGATGTAATTGAAAACTAAATAGGGGTGGATGAAACTGGGGAAGATGGTAATGCAAGGGACTGCCATAATTAAAACCACATTCTTTATTGACAAAGTTACACAATTGATCCTTGTAGTTTACAATAGAGACCAACAATGATACCCGTGGGAATTTTGTTATGCTGGTAGTCCCTGATATTTCATTATTTTGCACCGTAAGTCCTTATGGTTCAATCTATTAAAATTCACTAATTCCATTAGAGCGGTTTAGCATTCATACTCTCCTGAATCTGCTATTGCCATTGCTTCTGTAGCATTTTTACATTATGAATCCAAATATTGACATGTTCATAGCGGTTTAGGTTGCTTTAGAGTTTAGAGTTTGAATAAAAAAGGAGTGGGCAGAAGGTTTGACCAATTTTATGGAGAATTAAAACTAAGGATAACGATTTAAAAAAATAATATATTTTTCGATTTATATGTACATTTGATCATTGATTTTTTTTTGTCCGTATTTACCTCTTCAACTTATTATAAACTGTATACATTCAGTCATTACAACCGGTTACTCGGAAAAAATAACTTAATAAGGTAATATATTTCTTATTTTGTATACATTTAGTCTTTATTATTTTTGTACACATTTAGTTCTTAATATTTTTTGTTTCAAAATAATTTATTTTTGTTTTTATACCGATTCAGTACTTATTAATTATTTTTTAAGTTTTTTCTCACGACATCTTACATGGGACAATTATTGATTATGTGTTTGGGTCTATTAATGATTATGTCAATTGCGATTTCGATTATTTGGTTTGGCTTAGGTCTTGGCTTAGTTTGCTACAACTTTCCTTAAGATTACTCCCGTTAAAATATATTATATTTTTACTTACAATTTTATAAAAAAATATTCATACATGCATTCATAAAAAAACGTATGGATATAAAGATCGTAAGTAAAAATATATTACTTTTTAATGGGAGCAATCTAAATGAAAGTTGTAGCAATCTAAAATACGAACGCATGAATATAAAGATCGTTAAAATCTAAGATAGTCTAAACAAATTATGACGTTTAGAACACATAACCTAAGCAACCAAGTAGTCGAGATCACAATGGATATAATCATCAAAAGCCCCAAACACCTCTTAGTGATTGTCTCATGTAAGATATCATAAGAAAAACCTTAAGAAATCATTCATAGTACTAAATGAGTATAAAAACAAAATGACTTATTTTGCAAATATATATGTAACGCCCCGTTTATTTAAATAAATTAATAAATGTAATTACTGGATTAATTTGTGAAGAATGTTAGAAGTTAGGGGTTAAAAGTGTAATTTCCAGATTTGTTTGTAAGTGTTTGTGAAGACAGGGACTAAATGGTAATTTATGGGACTTCTATTGAAAAGATTTGAAGGCATAAGGGTTTATCGGTAATTTAGGGATTTATTTTGAAAATAAATAATAGAACCAGGGGTAAAAGGGTAAATAATGGATTGAATCTGAAAAGATATCATGGGGAAGGACCATAATTGTAATTATGGCAAAGAAGTGTTAGGAGCGGGTATATAAGCTGTAACATTGCCGGTTGCCACAAACCCTAACCCTAAACAAGTGTTAGCCGCCACCCTCTCCATCTTCAACTACCGACTGCCGCAATCTAACCGAGTCCAGCAAGCATGTCGTTTCCCAGCCGTCATTGCCATCTAATTTCGTTTCTCCAATCGGTCACATTCCGAGCGACCACCACCAGGCATCTCGTCCATTCTCCGACCACCTAGTACCGTCGAGCAGCCTCCAGGTGCTGCTGTTTCATCGGCCGCCATCAGCAACCTGCACCGTCGAACCTTCTTGCCGCCATGTTGCTGCCGTTGTGGTCAATCCCGACGAGAGGACGAAGCCGCCGCTCCTTTCACTCACAGTTCCATCACCCATCACGTTCCTTCGCCGGTGAAGTCTCATTCGCACCTTCCCTATCGCGACGCTGCTACTCTGCTGCTTTTCTCCGGGCATATTCGTGTGGGAGAATGTTTCTTGTTTGGGAACCAATAGAACCGCCGCCACTACCATGAGGTGGTGGCCGTTATGGCAAGATATTGATATTGCTGCTGTGCGCCACCGGAAGGGGTGACTGGATGCTTTAAAAACGAAGCATGGGTGGGTGTGCTTGTATTTCCGTTAGTAGCAGTTCAGGAATTTGTCATCCAGCAGCTAAGGGTGAGTCTACGGGACTTCAGCAGTATGAGATTATGTCTACGGGACTTCAACAGTGTGAGGTGAGTTTTCCTTCTGGTAGGAACGGGTCTACAGCCACAATATCGGCCTGTTTAGTTAGCAATAGTTTCAGACCTCGGTCCGATACAGTAGTTAGATTGCTTGATGTCTTTATGATTCAAGCATGTTTTGTATTATGTGTTCCGGACCCTAGTCCGATGCAGTATGCACTATATGTGTTCATGTTAGTTGATATGTTTATGCTATATTATGTTCAGTCAGTTCCAGACTTCGGTCCGATGCAGTTAGTTCCGGACTTCGGTCCGATGCAGAGGGCAAGGCCCTGGTTAGTTTTCGGACTTCGATCCAATGCAGAGGGCAAGGCTCTGGTTACTTTCCGGACTTCGGTCCGATGCAGTTTCCGGACTTCGGTCCGATGCAAAGGGCAAGGCCCTGGTTATTTTCGGACTTCGATCCGATGCAGTTTCCAGACTTCGGTACGATGTAGTAGGCAAGGCCCAGTATGTTCTTTATATGTTATTGTATGGTATGTGGTAGTTTGGGGAGACTCACTAAGCTTCGTGCTTATAGTTTTCAGTTTTGGTTTCAGGTACTTAGTTTTCAAAAGAGGAGCTCGGGAAGATTGTAGTGCACACACCATTTGTTCAACCTGGGATGTTTATACTCTGATATACTTGACAGTTGTTATAATATTTTGAGATACATTCCTTATGATTTTAATATGAGGTTTATCGACTATGGTTTTTATTATTAAATTAAACGAAATTTTCAGACTGTGTTTTTGGGATGTTACTATATATATATATATATATATATATATATATATATATATATATATATATATATATATATATATATATATATATATATATATATAGGACTAAATGTGTACAAAGTGAAATATATATTACCATATTAAGACCATTTTACCAACTAACCTGGAGTAGTCGGTCATAAGGACTAAGTGTGTACAATTTAACAAGTTGAAGGGTAAATGTGGACGGAAAAAAAACTCAGTGACCAAATGTATACAAATCGAAAAATATATTACTCTTTTAAGTCATTATTCTTTAAAAGTTCGGTAGAAGAAGTCTTTCCATTTACTTGTTCTTTAGGATATTTTGCAACACTCATAGATTCGGGTCAGACAATTTGAATATTATAAGCATTAAAATTGATTTTTTGATAGAAAATTATTTAGCATAAATTATCTTAACCAAAGTTATACTATATGTAAGAAGGATTATGTGCATATGAAGAACACCTAAATCTAACTTCGTGAGAGGAAGTTATGATTTTTCTAATATTTCAGTATAGTAGCATGGGGCTAAGAAACCGGAATCACGATCGGTCGATTTTTAGGAAAAACAGTCTAAACGAGAGCTGAAGATCTCATATAATGTTCCAAACATTACTATGTAAAATTTTCATTTTAAAAGCCAATAGAAACATCATTCATTCATTTCAAAACCCATCAAAATGTGATAATGTATAAAATAGCTATCAGAGCACAATTCATGTCAAAAAATACAGAATGTTGGTGGATGCGGTGCGATTATGTCGGGCCCTTCCCTTTCAAACTGGAAATACCTGAAACCACAAACATAAAACTATAAGCACAAAGCTTAGTGATTTTCCCAAACTACCCTATATCATACATACATAACAGTCAAAACATAACTGGGCCTATTTCACCCGCTTCCGTCTCTTTCAACCAGTACTGGGTCTATTTCACCCCTTTCGGTCTCTTTCAACCGGTGTCAGGTCTGTTACACCCAACAACTGTCACACCCCAAACCAAGACAGTGGAAACATTCGGGGGCGGAGGACGTCATGTTTAGTATCACAACAACCGAATAATAGTAATCAATGCAACAGTAAGCATTGTATTGATAATATAGTGTTTACATTGTATTTGAATCACATTAGGTTGACTCGAAAAGTAAATTGCAAAATAAAGACTTGAAGCTAAAATGCTCCATCTTCTAGAACTTACGCGGGTACCTGTCTACTAGTGTCCTGAGAATACAAGTGGTTTTGAAAGAGTGTCAACATTAAAGTTAGTGAGTTCATAAGCGTTTTGTTTTAGAAAACAGGTTCTTTGTTCTTTGTATAACATGATGTGTTTCTCCAGAAAATCCTATATTTCCTGATGTAATTATTGATAAGTAAAAATGACCTGTAATAATTCTTTCTACGAGTACTTAGTGTATACAAGTTAAATATAATCCAGATCGAACAGACAATCGATTGTGTTGTTGTGCCCCAAGCCTACAACCAAACAAGGAACAAGAAATGAGGTGGAAGACAGATATCTCACTGTTTATCAGATCCTCATTGTATATAACCCTGATGTATTCACTAGGTACTTACATAGTTAACTGTATTAGTCCTTTAAGTTGTGATGAGTATGTTCCTTAAGAAAATCCTATATTTTCTTTGGAGTAAATTACTAAAAGCGTCCCTATGTTTTGGTCAAAATTGCACGTTTGGTCCCTAACTTTTTTTTTGCACTCGGGTCATCCCTGTGGTTTGATTTTGTTGTATTTTACATCCCTATAGTTTGGTCAAATTTTCATGTTTGGTCCCTAACTTTATGTATGTAAGGGACGAAAAACGCAACAAAATCAAACCACAAGGACGATCCGATTGCAAAAAAAGTTAGGGACCAAACGTGAAATTTTGATCAAACCATAGGGATACCCTTTTCTTTGTAAGAAATATGATAATACCAGTTCCTTCTACGACTACTTAGTTCATACTATCTATGTATAACCCAATATCGAACGAACATTTAATTATGTGGATCTACCCTAAGCCC